TCTTGTTGAGTCCTCGATAATCAATACACATCCGTAATGATCCATCTTTTTTCTTCACAAATAGAATTGGAGCTCCTGCCGCAGATTTAGAATGGCGTATGAAATTCTTGGCTAGATTTTCTTCAATATACTCCTTGAGTTCAATCAACTCATTTTGTGATAAACTGTAGATTGGTCCGAATGGCGGTTGTGCTCCTTCTTAAAGGTCAATTGAGCAATCATAGGGACGATGTTCCAGGAGTGTATCTGCATTCTTTTTTTCGAATACATCTTGAAATTCTTGATATTGGCTTGGAATGCCACTTGAAGTTTTTCTACTAGTAGAAACAGGTGTGGCATAAATAATATATGGTGATTCTTTCATAGTAGCATGCAAGAAAGCTTTTGCACCTATAAATACGGATTTAATTGAACTGGACTTATGACTCTCTACTTGATTAACTATATTGTTAGTTATACTTTTAGAGAAAGTAAGAGTTCGGGAAATTCAATCTATTTGAGGGTTGTATTTTTCTAACCACGATAAATCTAAAATGACTAGATTAGAGGGAGATCTAATGATATTAAATACTACAAAGCTATTATAACCATTGATTATTACTTTTATAGGAAGGATTTCGTGAGTAATATCTCCAGAAGACAATCGACGACCATCTATGACTTCTACATGAACAGGTTTAGTTTTCTTTACTAAAGACATGCTATGTCTTTTAGTAAATTCTTCATCTAAGAAACATGCCGAGGCTCCTCAATCTAAGAAGGCAGAGGCTTTGTAATATTTAGGTCCTAAAATAACATTTAATATAAAATAAGAAGAGGGCTCTGAAGAGAAAATAGGACCTTTACTAGATGTTGTACAAGGTTCCAGCCGCACGGTCCTTATTGTAGCTAGACAAACTCGTTTTTTGACATATTGTCTTCTTTCACAGCCATACTCCTCATTTTGTGATTGTGTCATTTCTTTGGACAATGTTGAGTAGTGTGCTTTGGTTCTCTACATTATAAACATAATCCTTCTTGACGACGACAAGTCTTTTCTTGCTTAGTAAGAGGTTTGAAACGTACTGCATCAATTTGCATATCCTCTACTTCCGAATGTATGTGTTGAAGAGGTATTGGTGTTGCCATTGAATTATAATAACGTTGAGGTTCACTTTTACGGTTCTCAGATCGAAATTCAAAAAGGCCATTGTCGCACTTCATAGCAAAGTCAATTGCTTCACTCAATGTTTGAGGATTAGGTAAGTTGAGTATTAATTTTTTTACCTCATATTGTAATCCGTAGAGAAATTGGCTAATAAGTGCAGCATCATCCCACTTGATATCAGTTACAAGTTGTCGAAATTGTGAAGCGTACAATGTTACTAATCGATTGTCTTGTCGTAAAATACAGATCTTATTGGTTGCAACACGAATTACATCATGTTTTCCATACATGGATCAAAACTTCGCCAGAAAAGCCTCTAGATTATCCAATATTGGATCTCGTCGTTTAAGAAAAGATGAAAACCATGATAGTGTTGAACTTGAAAGAAGCATACCCATGAATTTAACTTGCGATCCTGGAGTTGGATAGCTTTGGGGTTGAAGTTCAATCACAAGTTGCACTTGATTGATAAATCCTTGAAACTTGGATCTGGTGCCATCAAACTTCTCGGGTAGAGAATTCTTGGTTGTCTTACACTAGAAGGGCGTTCCACCATAGGAGAAAGGACATAGTTTGGTGCAGATGTTGAAGCAGCTCCAACCATTTCTATATCTTCACTTTCTGCCAATCTTATTGCTTCTTGTGGTGGTAAATTGAATTGATGCATCGCAAGCATTAACTCCCTCATTTGCTCTTGCATTTGTGCCATTGCACTCTTCATTTCAACAATTTTTGCCATGATAACACTTAGAAAAGAAAAGATGTCTAATATCGCTCAAGACAAATAGAAGAGAGAACTTGAGAACAAAGAAAATACTAAGGACAATATCAGTTTAGAAGAGGGTAATCCGCAACTTCTAATATGCTTATATCTTATCAAGAAAAAAGGGTAATCCGCTCTTAATCAAGATTAGACAAAGCTTTGATATTGTAGGTGTACTCTTGTCAATCTGTCAAGGACAAGAACTTGATGAAAACGTAATTCAGACAAGTGAGCCTTCACTCAAAGAAAGGTAACAAAATATAAATAAACAAGTATATATATTGAAAGAGAAACTGGAATGGCTATTGCCAAAAGACAAGAAAACTAGAGACCCTTGAAACTAGACTGGAAGCAAGAAAGGAGTTGACAAGAGTGAAGAAGACTTAAGTCTTGTCTCTATATACTATCTAACTAGGGGCTATGTGGTGACGTTCTATAAGACCTCCAATATGTGTTGACTTTATAGGACACATGCGTTGACTTACAAGGCAAGTTTTTCTACGTGTGGGCCACATAGTTAGCTTGATCTTCAAGCTAACAACATGTGTGGCACATGGCCAACAAGTTTACCACGTTTCTAATCCAAAAAATCAATTAAAGATACCTATGAAGTCAAAGAAGCGTCTATGAAGCTTCTAAGAAGCTTCCATATTAAATACTATAGAATTAACTTATTTTTACCTATTTTTACTTACTTCTACCTATTTGTATATGTAATTATTAGCTTACATGAGTATGTCCGTGATAATACCAAGCTTAGAGAGACTAATAAAGACTATTTATGGCTTGTTTGAGTTTGTAAATCTTTTTATTACTTCTATGTTCTTTAAAGCCATATGAGATAGTTATGTACATATCTTATTTTATTATTCTATTTAAGAGTGATATAATAGCATCATACTATTTTATTTTCTACTATTAAAAGGCTATTAATACAATAATAGTTTTGATAGTATTTTGTTGTATGAAAAGAACAAATATTTCAAAGAAGTTTTCTCCCTCTCTTTGCTCAAATCCTTTTGCTACAACTTGTGCTTTATGTTTCTTAGTGATTCATACAACTCAAGTTTTCTTTTTGAAGATCTATTTTGCTATTATAGATTTCTTTCCAAATAATAAGTCACAAATGTTCCATGTATTATTTTTCTTTATATTATAAACTTCCTAATCAATGACCCTTATCCATTTGCTATCTTTAATTGCTTCAAATTTATCAATTAGATCTAATTTAGTACACTCATTTAATAACCAATTATCTTTAAGTTTTATTAAAGATTATCTTTACATGTCTATTTTCCTTTGAATGGAGAGTTGGCCTACTTGAGTGGCCAAATTGGAAGATATTGGTGAATATGTTATAAGAGAATTTTGTGAATTTTTAGTAGAAGAAGGCTGTTTTGATATTTCCAATGGAGTTTATGGCTAATAAAGCAAACCTTTTGGTTCTATGTATTGATTTTTATTTTATTCAAGTTCTTCTTTATTTTATATTAGTATATCTTTTCATGTATTGCTTGTTATTGTAGAAAATACATCTTTAAAATTCAAGATTTTGATAATATATTTTTGATTTATCAAAGACAACATCTATATTAATAATTATCTTTTTCTTAGTAGAATTTTAAACTCAATATGCCTTGCTGTTGAAGTTATATCTAACAAAAGTACACTTTCTTGTTTTATTATCAAGCTTTAAACATTATTTTTTTGATATATGTAAATAAGTTATATAATCAAATATTCTAAAATGGTGCATTTTTTATTTTCTTTTATAACATAGTTCCATGGATGTCTTTCCATTGTTGGCATTTTTTGGATCTAAATTTATCAAATAATTTACTGTGTTAATAGCTTTAGGACATAAAGTTGGAGGTAGTTTACTTTTATAAAGCATATTTCTTGCTTTTTCAACTATAGTTTTGTTGTATCTTTCAACAACTCTATTTTGCTAAGAGGTCAATGCTTGTATCAATGATTGTCCTATTATTCCATATTTTTGACAAAAATCTTAGAATTCTTTTGATAAAAATTCACCTCCTCTCTCTGTTTTCAATATTAACAATTTTTCATATGTTTTGTTTCCAACTTGTATTTTGAACAAGCAAAATTTAGAGGACTTTTCTCTTGGTTTTAAGGAAATATATCCTACTTCTTTAAGAATAATTATTAGTAAATATAGAAAAATACTTAGTACGACTTAACAAAGGTTTGGACATAGGTCTAATTAAATCAAAATGTACTAACTATAGAAGTCTCTTTGATCTATTAAGACTTTACTTAAGGAACTTCTTTTTGTATTAATGATCTACATTATAAGCCTCTCAAATCTCTTCAAATATGGTATCAATAGATGGTAAGCCTTTAACTCTTTTGTTTATATAAAGTTGCTTTAAACTTAAATAAACAAGATGTGAAGGTCTATAATGCAATAATTTGGACTTTTCTACAATGGTTGAGTTAACTTTTGATGTAATTTGATTTATGCAATATTAGTTAATATCTGATTCTTAAGGCTTAGTAGTAATCACATTTTGTTTGTTTGTTTTTTTTGTTTTTTTATTTTTATTTTTTGCAAAGGAATCAACTAACAACAAGCTCTTTTTTAATGAAGGTACAAATAAAATGTTACTTATCCTCTTTGGGTTTTCATTGTATTTTTTTATACAAATTTTTCCTTGTCCAGATGTAATATTTGTTTCACCACATATAGCCCTTAATTTGTGGAATTGACTTGTTGGTTTGAGATAACTTACTGCTGATTTGCTACTTGTTACACGTTGTCAAGTTCTATGCATTTGCAAGCTCTTCATGTTTTGTCGCCATATCTACAAAATAATCCTTTATGACAAAGGTCAATATTTTTATCGCCTTTACCTTTATTTCTTGTATTTGGATTTCTGAATCAATCATCAATCGTATCTAACTCATACCATGACTGTGCTGAACACTAGCAGCTACCATGTTCATCCATGTATCACCTGGGTATCTGCCAAATATGAGGAAAGAAACACTAGGCGCATTTTTTGCCAATAGATACGAAGATCTTATTAAACGACATGAGAAAGGTGGATCAGGTTGAAAAGGAAGGAGTTGAAAATGAATATGGTTCCGACCAGGTGAAGGAATGAATTTTAATATTCAAATGTACAGATTTTTAGTAGTGGGGATGCTTTGGCATCTGCCGTGCAGCATGGATGTCGATCAATCTAGAACCAACAGAAGACGACCAAAGGTGATAAACGATGCGATCAAAGACGTTGAAATCTTCACATCCTTGCACCTTGAGCTAACAAGGCTGACTCACGTGGGTATGTTATGCTAATCAAATCCTACCAAAAGAATCACCAGCAATTTCTTAATGCTACAATAGCGATGAAAGTACAAAGGTGTCGGTTCAAGCATCTGTTTCTTTGAACAAAAGCAAATAATGCTCTCGACCACGCCCGTCAATAAGCTCATTGGAATATTTTCAAAGAATCTTTAAAGCTCTGAACAACCTGCGCACGCATAAAACACCACCAAACCAAAGTACGTTTAAAGCTCTGAACAACCGAATCTTGTTAACTACAACAATGCAACCATATTTAGGAAGGATATCATCGCTAACCTCAAGGCCGAGGTCGGTTCCATCTTCTTCAAAGATTAAGGCGACAGAAATTTTCCCTTGGATTTTCCCGTCAGGACGAGCCACTGGATATTCTGCCGAGGGGCTCAAGAAGGACCCATCAGGGAGCTTGTTATCCGGGTCAAATACTTCTGCTAACTTGATTCTGCAATGTTACAAGAAGATTTCCCCTTGATCAGATTTGCATGCATTCACCGACGAGGTTCACTTAAAGAATCGCATGTTTACAGCCATAGCAATTTAAAGATATTTAATTCACAGATGATGAAGTTATGGACGGTTATCTCACGTGACTATCCCCATTATATCATCTTTGTAAAGCCTATTTTCATTGTAAATCGTAAGAACCAATTGTTTGCAGCCATTTGGGATGCGCAGCCTGATTATCTCGCCCCACACTGGTGAGCTGCCTTGATCTGAAACACACCGCGTGGCAGTCTTAAGAATATGTTATTAAAGAGACGAGAAATCCCTTAATTACACATTGAGGTTATTTGCAAAACAGCTTTCTGTAAACGAAACCAGGAGCTACCTTTGCAAGTAGAGGTTTTCCCGGTTGCTTTCTCTGCTTTCAGTATTACATAGGGGTCCGCTTTACCTGAACGGTCAAATCTCAAGAGTCAGTTCACATCGAAAACCTGGTTATTATACGCAATTGTATTTTCTCTGCCCAATTATGTAACTTGACAATAGAGCAGAAGCTTTCAATGTGGTAAAGAACCAGCTTCTAGAAAATGACAAAAGAAAGAGGTCAAGATACAGAATCACTGATGCGAATTCTGATGTTACGAAAATAAAGGTTTTCTGAAGCGCTATTCACATCTGCATCCGCTTAAGGAGTGTTTCAGGAAGAATTCAGGAAGAGTGTAGTTCCTCAAGTGAATTTACATACCAATGATCTCCGTGTCCTTAAGACCGTTTGCACTATTTACATATACATCCAGCTTGCCCGCCGGCATCCTTACCTGCACCTGCAATTCTAATCGCGAAGAGGCTTCAGCAATTTACGAATCGAAACAGACTTGTCGAACATTGAACCTAAACCAGCAGCTTTTAACAAGAAAGTCTTGGCTATCGATGGTGAATTTATGGAATGACAGAGGACCTTGAAGAGATGTAACAACCACTAAATAATGATTTCGTTTAAATTGCTAGCTAAACCCTAAAACAAGAATTTGGTAGCACCACCTAAGGCACTAGATGCGTGTGCACTGCACGTCTGCAATGCAGTATTTATGAGAATAAGAACAAAAAAACGAACCTTTTGGATACTTGCCGATGAAGCTAAATTCGCACCAATAGCGGACAAGTTACTAATTTTCAATACGGTACTACGAAGACGCAGAGAATGTGCGCAAGATTCGGTCAGTTAGAAATTTTGAACCGCAGCTATCAAGGATCCACATCCAACCGTCTTCAATAACGAGCTACTCGCTTGATTTCTCCGTAGTCAAATCTTTGCCTTCCAAAAACCCGTCCTGCAGCAAGCATAATAATATGAATATCGGCCAATCGGCTATAGTAAGCCAATTCAATACTAGTGAGGACTACTCCACAGGGTTCAGATTACTCACAACACTGAACTCATCGACAAGTCCAGATTAAGATTGTAGGGTGGACTATCTTCTTCCGAAAACAATCAATCACAAACTGATTCATTACCGTCTCTTAAATGGAAAACCACCATACACGCGACTTCTTTCAAGCTGATTTTCGCACTAGCAACAAACACGTGCCGCACCCAATTCAATGACCATTCTAGCGAAACCACAAAGACTACCTCTTACCAGGCCGCACCTGCGAATCCACCTTCTGGAGTTCAGATACCCAACAAGAATCAAATGAAGGTGCGCTTCCGAAACTAGGCCAGCGGAAGCACGAAGACCTGCCGCTGATGGAGTCTTCTAGCTGCAACCGTCCTTCCACGCAGGATCAGGATTGGAACTTTCCTGGCGTATGATCAAAGCCCAACTGCGAGTTCCTAGTATAGATCACGCAGCTTCCACTCGGTCAAGTTGTCGCATTCTTTGGATGGCTCCCTACAATTTGGGTTTACGCCAACCGGGGTTGACGAATGGATCTATTTGCGGACAAGGCAGACCCAGAAGCGGAGGAGGGATTCGCAGACATCGGAAGGAGGGACAGATCTGGTGGACTCGTTCTCGTGGACACCGCGGCGACGCGGTGATCGTCGAGACTCCTCGCAAAGACTTGGCTCATTTAGTCGGTGTTTCCGTGTTGATGGCCTCTCCGCGCTTATGGACAAAGCGGCCTCTTCCTCATCCTTTCTCTACCGCCATACTTTTTTAATTTAATATACAAATAACTACTTTATATAGAGTTTGGAAATAATCGCTACAACAAAATATTGCAGAAATGAAAAGAAACGTGTCTGGGATGAAGACAGAACAAACCCATAGTTGTTTCCGCCTCCTTAGAGAAGGGTGTTGTGACGTGTCTAAAGTCTATTGATTTATACAAAATGGGATATATCCAATATTTTGATCAAATACAATAAATTACAGAACAATGCTGCTTATTTTCTAGTGCCTTTTGACAAGGATGTTAGAGTTGCCATATAAGTGTTTAAATTATTCTCAATTTTATTATTTTGGATTATTACAAATTAGTTGGTTGTATCGGGGCATCCTTAAATTTCATTGATTGCCAAATTAGATTTAACATCAATCATGTTTTTGATTGTCCACATTTTGTCTTATCTTATCTAATTGTAAAATTGGATTTGACATCAATCATGTTTTTAGCCATCTACATTTTGTTCCATCTTTTAAAGAAGATTTCTTCATTGCCAAGTTGTTTCTTTATCTTATTATGTGTTACTTTCTATAAGATTTGGTGATATTTGTTTTATTTAACTATTGTTGATCCTTTGTTATCTGATCACCTATAAATCAATACCTTCTGATATTCGATACAAAATAAATTCCACCAACTACGTTCTTTTGGCATAAACCAATATCCTCTTCTCTTTGACATCGGATGCATTTCTTGAGCAAAATCGATTTACTAATGTATATAGAACGGTGAAGGAAAACAACAAAAGCAAAGAACAAAACTAATTATGCAGTGATATAGTTACAACAAATACTAAAATTAAGAATCAAGCAATGTTTGATGTTTTTTTTGGCATCATAGCTTATTTTGGATTTGGTAAGTAATATTATAGGCAGTAACATGTGAAAGAATTAAAAGATCAAGGATTTTGATGAATTTTTGTAGACTTCTATTTTTTTCTATTTGTCATTTCTGTTTTTGCTTCTTCCAACTTGTCAACCTCATCAACATCATTTTTATTGCCTACCACCAATTTGACAATTTCTTTATTTGTAAACTGTTGATGGATAATTTATTTCTTGATAAGGTTCAAAAAAGCTTCAATTCACATTGGATTATGAATATCCAATTGCTTTATGAGTGAAGATTGTTTATTATTAATACATATTGTCAAGGACATGAATCTCAAACAAAGAAAATCTCAATACACTCTTGTGTCACTTGAAAAGACTAAAAAATTATTCAAAGATGGTAATATATTGAATTAGAATGGCTATTACCAAAGACAAGAAGACTAAGTCTTGAAACAAGACTAAGGATTAGAAAGGCATTGACAAGAGTGAAGAAGGCTTTACTCTTACCTCCATATATACTATCCAACTAAGAACTATGTAGCGATGTTCTTTAGGACCTCCAACATATGTTGACTTTGCAAAACACATATTTTAACTTGCAAGGCAAGTTTTCTATATGTGCGCCATATAATTATCTTATTCCACAAGCTACCAACTTGTGTGACACATGGCTAATTTGTTGACCAAGTTTCTAACCTACCAATTAGCTATAAATATGTATAAAATCAAAGCTACATCAATGAACAGCCATCACAAAGTACCATCAACTCAATTTTCAATAAGTACTAGAAGTGTGAAAGCCTTGACTTATTTGGACTCTTTGTAAATCATTAATGGCTTCTAATATATTCTCAGTTAGACAAAGTATTGACTAATTGGATTTTGCGATGAATGCATTTATCCATTCTTAGAACAATTGGCCAATCATATATATATATATATATATATATATATATATTTTGTGGTAGAAACAATTAAGCTATTTGTCGATTTTATTTTGTTAAAACAATGCAATTTCCATGCATGGCCAATATAAAAGAGATTCAACTTGTCCAAGCCATCTACATTAGCAATAAGAGCAATAGTGATTCTTGTTATATCTTTTTTCATTTTTGCAATGTAGCAAAAAATAATCATCTTATTAGATGAGAGACAATAGAATAATTTGATTTTGTCTATGTTATAAATGTCATAGAAGGAAAATGGCTTGATCTTTGCTTGAAGCTCAAAAAGGGATACCTCAATTGCAGCAATGTTAGCTAATAGACTTTCAGTAAGTAACTTGAATGTTCAAAATCCATATTGCTACTTAAACTTTTCAACTTAGCCATTTGAAAATCTTGGCAGATTTGCAATATTTAGAAGTGAGGTAAACTTTCTTCTTTTTTCTTATGTTATTCTATGAGTGAGTACAACACTCCAATATTGGCATTGCAAAATCCAATTAGCTAATACTTTGTCTAACTGAGAATACATTAGAAGCCATTAATGCTTTACAAAGAGTCCAAATAAGTCAAGGCTTTCACACTCCTAGTACTTATTGAAAATTGAGTTGATGGTACTTTTTGATGGCTGTTTTTGGAAATTAAAATCATCTATTGTCCATATTATAAGTTCTTTTTAGTTCATAAATGTTTTTTTTTTTTTTTTTTTTTTTTTTTTTTTAATTTTTTTTCTAGTAGATTTCTAGCCTTTGCACATTCATAAGTGTCTTTGACATTACTTTGCTTTATTTGTTAAATAAATATGTTACTTTGTAATTCCAGAAAGTTTTATCTATAAAAGTCAAGAATCACCTTAGGGACCAACTTTTGCATTTTTTAAAATACAAAATCTCCTTTCTTGTTTTTATTAGATTAATCAATTATAATTTTTTATACTAAAAAAATCAATCACAATTTGATATTAATTAGCCAATCATAATTTTTTATTCTATAATTTAATATATATTTAATATAAAGATCATTATATATTTTATTTCAAATATCAATTTATAAAATCAAATGTAAATAATCCACGAACATAAGCTTTTTAAGAAAGATTATACAATGTAAAATCTCTTAAAATATTAATATCATATTATATGTAAATATATTTTTTTTCAAGAAGCTTCTATTAAAGAGTCTATTTTCTAAAAATACTTATTAGTTTATACAAGCAAGATGCAACTTAAACATATATTTTTTTATACATATATGCATTCTTTAAATCTATGTTATGTCACTAAGATTTATAGTTATTATTATATTTACTTGGATAAGTAGAATTAAGTAGAAGTAAATAAAAGTATATTACATTATTAATAGCTTATTTCAAAGCTTCTTAAAAACTTTATAGAAGTAGATTTGACTTTATATTTATTTATATATTATTGAAAAGTTGAAAACTTGTTCAATAAGTTGGCTATATGTTGAACATGTTGGCTATGTGACACACATGTAAGAAACTTATCATACAAATTATACATACATCTTATAAGTTGAATATGTATCATATGACTTAAGAAATGTTGCTACATAGCTTCTTAGTTTGATAGTATATATAGAGGTAATAATGATGTCTTTTTTATTCTTGACAATGTTTTTTGTTTGTTTTTGGTTTAGTTTCAAAAATCTTTAGTAATTTTGTCTTTAGCAATAGCCATTCTAATTTCTTCTTGAATATATAAATATTAACCTTAGTCTAATTTATAACTTATTATAAAAAAAACTTATAATTTTAAGAGAATATATTAAAAATAATTTAACAAAGAACTTTATTTGATATTCAAAATCTTATATTAGTGCACTTATATTCTTAATAGAAAAAAATATAGATCCCTAAAAATATGCATTTATTAATATGATTTTAATAAAGAATTATTATTCTTTGCCATAGATATTTAAGTTCTTTGACTAATTAAGTCAAACTAAGATCTATACTAAAATAGAATTTGTAGATCTTATAATTTAATACTTGTAAAAAAATGAAACAAATAGAAGACCCTCTTTGTATAAAATATGAATACTTTAAGTATAATGTCATGTCTTTTGGTCTTACAAATATGCTAGATATTTTTCAACATTTAATGAATAATATATTTTTAGAATTCTTTGATGACTTTATTATAATCTATTTGGATGACATCTTAATTTATTTTAGGATCCTAAAAGAACATTAATATATTTGCCTTATCTTAAAAAGATTATAAGATACTAGAATATATGCCAATTAAAAAAGTGTATATTTTATGAATCCAAAGTTATTTTTTTTAACCATATTATGTCAAATGAAGAATTAATGATGAATCTAAAAAAGATTAAGACTATTAACAATTAAAAACGTTTAATATTAATATATAGCATCTAATATTTTTTATATTTTAAAATTTTTATAGGATCTTCATTAATAATTGTTCCTAAATAATTATTTTATTTATACATTTGATATACAAGGATTAGCTCAAATAGAAATTAGAAGTTGAAAAAGCCTTTAAATTCTTAAGAATATATTCACAATAGTTATTATCTTCATTCATTAAGACTTCTTTTTTGAAATTTATTATAAAAACTAATACATTAGACTTTACATTGAAAGTAGTCTCATTACAATTTAAAAGAAAAAAAATTGTATCCAATTGCATACTATTCTTGATTTTTTTTATTATAGAGATTAATTATGAGATCTACAATGAGTTTTTTTTTGCTATTATAGAATATTTCTAATAATAGGAATATTTTTTAAAGAAACTTTACATCCAATGACTATGTATACATATTACAAGAATCTTGAATATTTTTATGCTAATTTATATTTTAAATTGTTGTCAAGCCTATTTAAACATATTTCTATTTTTTTGACTTTAACATGACTTACTAACCTAAGAAGCAACAAATATTTTTAGATGTTTTATTAGAAAAATCATACCTTGTGCCAAAAAAAAAGAGGTAGTTTATGACCAACAACAAATAACACTCTTGCAACTCAAGAAATTTTACATTTAAGCAATTGTTATAATAATTCTAGTAGATTTTTTATTTTTATTTTTTATAATTAGATTTATGAAACCTTGATTACA